ATCAAGAAGGGAGACTTTTATGAGTTCGAACTTAAGAACATAGAGTAGAGCATCCCGTGATGGGCAAACTAAAAAATCGGTGGTTTCTTTCTCCGACATGTAATGAGACAAAGCAATGTTTAAAATCAAAGATAGCCCATGTGATGACTCGATTCACATTCACTAGGCGAATACAAATTTATCTGTTTCACATTTAGCACATGTGTGACGTATGATTGTAGGTCGTATCAGTACGTACGTGTTGCATTTTGCAACACAATTCTTAATACAAATTATCAATCATGTGATTCATATATCAGACTATATCTACTTGTGTTAATTGTTTATTATTCATCGATAGTTTCGGCCTTTCGGGACTACACTTCATCCATTGTTGTTTTTGTTTTATTTTACAAATAGATTAATTTCCATAACAGGATAAGCTCATTTTAACAAAAAACAGGATAACACTACTAAAAACGCCGTGTATAGCATCGTTTGTTTTTAATTTTAGCATCACTTTTAAAGCGATGTTAGAGTTATCGCATCATTTTAAAAAGCGACGCCAAATCCAGTGAAGCTAAATATATTTTGCATCGTTTTAATAAGATGCTATAATGAAATTTTAGTATCGTTTATTTTCGTTTAGAATCGTTTATACTAAACGTTGTTATTTTTAATTATAACGTCGCTTTACAAATGATGCAAAATATATAGTTTACGTCAAAACTTTAAATGATGCTAAATCTAATTTTAGTGTCAGTTTTTTAAAATGACGTTAAACTTGTTGCATCACTTCAAAAACGATTCAAAGTATTCTATTAGCATCATTTTGTTTTTGTTCAAAATGACGTTAAACTTCAACAATTGCATCACTTCCAAAATGATGCAAAATATACTACTATTAGCGTCATTTTATTTTAGTTCTTAAAAATGATACTAAACTGGATATGGTTTTTTTTTTCATTTTTAGACAATATATTAATTGTATCAATTAGCTATAATATAAATAATTGCGATGATTTGTACAAACGAAAATAAAATTTTAATTTAATATCTGAATACATGCATAGATATGTTCTTAAAGTGTAATAACCAAACTTAAAAAAACTAACGCACTAAGTCACTTGTTTTCTTAAAACATGAACGAGAGCTAAAGAAAAATACCATACTCAGCTCTAATTAAATATTCACCAAATTTCCTTCATGCTCCATCCATCACCACGAAAGCCTTATAACTAGCTAGTCCCTGTAACGACATAATCATAAACAAAGTTATAAGTCAAGTCTAATTCCATAATACAAAATAGACTGAGAATAAATATTGTTACCTTTCATCATTGGAAGTACTTGAGGTAGCAAAACGACAAATAATATCATTCATCTTCTCCACCTTGTCTTCTAAATCATTCATCCTCACCAATTTTTCTTCTAATTCATGAACTCGATTCCTCAAGCTAATAACTTCTGATTCATTGGATGCTGGGATGGTGCGTTTATGAAAAAATGAAGAAGGAGTAGGACCAAGACCAACACAACGAACACGACCAGGACATTCAGCACCAAATACTTGTAAGAATGCATCATTTGAACTTGCTGAAGTATTATTTCCACTTGTGTTTGGTGCATTTTCAGTCATCTTCTCCGTTAATTGTTCCTGATAGTAAAAAAATTCAAAACCAATTCAATCAGACCTATAAACATAGCATGAAACAGGAGGACTAGCAAACAGAAAGAAAATAAGTTAACGTGCAACTCTGCATTGACAAACAGAAAAGACAAGCAAATTTTTATTGACACAGAACAACGATCATAGAAATCTAACCATCAATAATAGTGGAACTAAGTCAACTATCACATAGCATATATATATAATAGAGAAAGAATCTGACCGATAATCCTTGAGCTTCTTCATTAACAAAGTTTCCATTAGCTTTTTTACATGAACACACAAACATTTCTCCACGACTTGGACGTTTACCTGTCTTAAGAAACTGCACATAATTAAACAGGCATTAGATATAAGTTGTGCTGATTTCTTTAAGATTTAGTCATTTAAACCTATGCTTTAAAGTTCAAATTAAAGTATAAAGAGACACTTACAATTTCTTTAGACTTTCGGGAAATGCTTTTTTTCCCTAAAGTATGTGGTGTTTTGTAATAGCTCCGACTAATCACATTTTTCTCACTCAGTTTCTAAAATTCAAATACATAATAGCATGTTAGTAAATTAAAAACCATATATCACAATAAAAATAAATCTTTTTCTATCACCTTAGCTTTGTCACCAAACTGTTGATGAACAAAATCTTGCCACTGTTCCTTTGGAATAAACTCTCGCCGAGCCTCTATAGTTTCTTCAGGAGTGTTACGATGACAAGATTTCCATAGTCGAGTTTTGTGACCTCTGCACTTTTGGCTCAAACTTTTCATCACATACTTCTTAAAGTTCTCATTAGAAGCATCAAAGAAAAACTTGGACTGCACCAACGAACAATAATTAACATCAGGTTAATACTTGGAGTACATATAGACCGTTATTTAGTAAAATAAAAGTATCATTATACCTGAATGAAATCCCAAACATCATCCTTTCGCCATGATTGTATCTTCCTCCAGTCCACATAATTTATAGGAAATTTGTTCAAATCAGTACTTAACATGCCAAGCCATGTACCAAATATACCTCCACTTCCATCTTCAGGTTGGTTATGTGGACCGATATCAAGAATGACTCTACGATTATCCATTCCCCATACATCTTGTGCTGTAAGATGTTCCACTGTTACAGTTCCATCTGAACCTGCAAAAAAAAGACTACCCATGTAAATACTGTTTTTAGCAGATATTGTAATTATTATAAACTATGTTTCTGTACTTACTTATTACATTAACCACCCACTTTCCACGCTCACGTCCTTGTGTATATATAAGAGATGCTGTGTTCTCAAGATTCTCCTCATTATAAAAATTTGTTTCATCAGCTTTACCATCTTGTGTCTCGTCAGAATCAAAGGTATCCATCTGTATGTACCTTAAAAAAATCAAAAATGCCACTCTCCTTAATTAGTGACAATCCATGCACTAACAAATATAGCTACAAAAGAAACAGATATAAATATAAAATTCAGATCAACAATACGGGTGACTAGTAGCAATCTATTAGCAGACATAGCACTAGTGAATAACTATGAAAAGAAAACAGTTAAAGAGTAATGCAGTAGCACCCTAAACCTAGTCAAGTATATAAAATTTATAACAGTATATAGAATAATCATATTGAATGAATTGATTACTACAAGGCTGGGAAACGAATGGCATCTCTTAAAGTCAACGTAAGCAAGAATTGGAATTTAAGTATATTTAGTTTATCATAACTTCGACTAGTATATATTACACCGAAAACAAAAAAAATTAGATATTTCTACAGCAATCGTCTTCTTGTTGATTCTCTCGCATTAGCTTAACTAGGATTAAAGTAGAAATTAATGGAATTACTAAAATCCATAAGGAGGCTTGTAACTAGCTCTAACTAGTTACATATTAAAATATTAGGAAGCAATTATGCAGAATCAATACCTGATATTGAATCAAACTGAATGTACGATGTAATTGTGGCTGACTCCAATCAAACAGTTTTCATAATCTCTGAAAGGAAGTTTAAGACAAAAATGATTAATGAAATGAAGAATGAGGGGAGAAATCAATTGTAAACAGAAAATTTCCCAATCACGATAGAGATTGGAAAAGGTACTGACTAGAAGACTGCAGTTATTTGCTTAGGGTTCACAGGGAAAAAAGGCCGCCGTCAAATGGGTTTTTCTTTCTGGGTAATAAAAAATAAAAATAGAAATGTTTTTGGTGAAACTTTAGCGGGAAAATTGGTCTTGTTTTCGGTGAAATTTTTAGATGAAATTGGTATTGTTTTTGGTGAATTTTTTAATCCAGCGGGAAAACAAAACATGTATCTAATCTTATTTTAATTAATAATACTAAAAAATAGAAATGTCTAAACTGGCGTCATTTTATTTTAGTTCTTGATAATGATACTAAACTGGATATGTTTTTTTTTCATTACCAATTAACTATAATATAAAGAATTGCGATGAATTGTACAAACGAAAATAAAATTTAAATGTAATATCTGAATATATGCATATATGTTCTTAAAGTGTAATAACCAAACTTAAAAAAAACTAACGCACTTAAGTAAGAATTAAGTCACTTGTTTTCTTAAAACATGAACGAGAGCTAAAGAAAAACACCATAACGAGAGCTAAATAAAAACACCATACTCAGCTCTAATTAGCTAGTCCATCCATCCATCAGCACGAAGACCTTATAACTAGCTAGTCCCTGTAACGACATAATCATAAACAAAGTTATAAGTGAAGTTTAATTCCATAATACAAAATAGACTGAGAATAAATATTGTTACCTTTCATCATTGGAAGTACTTGAAGTAGCAAAACGACAAATAATATCATTCATCTTCTCCATTTTGTCTTCTAAATCATTCATCCTCACCAATTTTTCTTCTAATTCATGAACTCGATTCCTCAAGCTAATAACTTCTGATTCATTGGATGCTGGGATGGTGCGTTTCTGAAAAAAATGAAGAAGGAGTAGGACCAAGACCAACACAACGAACACAACCAGGACGTTCTCAAGATTCTCTTCATTATAAAAATTTGTTTCATTCGTTTCACCATCTTGTGTCTCGTCAGAATCAAAGGTATCCATCTGTACGTACCTTAAAAAAACCAAAAATGCCACTCTCCTTAATTACTGACAATCCATCCATGCACTAACAAATATAGATACAAAAGAAACACGTACAGATAGTAAAACAAATATAAAAATCCGATCAACAATACCGGTGACTATAGTAACAATCTATTAGCAGACATAGTACTAATGAATAACTAAAATATATAATATTAGTCTTACTAATCTATGAAAAGCAACAAAATAAAAGACAAAGTAAACTTTAAAATATTAATAAATACCAAATGTGAGTCTTAAACGTCATCGTCATCGTCATCTTCCATGGTATCTCTTACTAGCCGAAAGTTTGGTATTTCATCTGAAAGAAGTAATCTATCATTGACAATAGAGTCATTGATGTCAATATTCTCAGGTGGATCATCAGATACATCAGATTCTCCCATCTCGTACAAGTCTCTTGGTGTAATATGCACCCCTATACTCCAGCCACTCTCACTTGGGTCTTCTACATAATAAACCATCTTTGCTTGAGATGCTAATACAAAGGGTTCATCTTCCTCGTATGCACCGCTATGTATTGTACGAGAGAAATTCACCATGTGATGACCAAAAATGTCTCTCTTGTATCCACGATTATCACGAGTATCTGCCCATTTGCACTTAAATAAAATTACTCGAAATTTATCGTAGTAATTTAGCTGAATAATGTCTATGAGCTTTCCGTAATATGGAACATCACCAGCCCTTGGATTAGTGTCACGAGAAGAAGCATAACTAATGGTTTCAGCAGATATATAAACCCCACAATTCTGTGTCTTCAGATCACCATCTCGTTCTAAAGTCCTATACTTATAACCATTAATGTTATATGACGAGAACTTCAAAACCTTATCTGATGGACCATTAGCAATGAGCCGAATATCATCATTAGCAATCTCATTTCTCTCTACTTTTTGTCTAAGCCACTTCTCAAAATGAAGATGGACTTCTCGGTCGATGTTTAAAGGATGACGTCGTTTCCTACCACGCATGTTAGCTCTACTTAACTCATCTTTAAACTTCCTATATTTTCATAAAAAAAACAAATGTTATTGTTTAAATCATGTAACAATAGTAAAATGTACAAGTTTAATAGGAAAATAGTTCTTACTCTCGTAATCCGTCAAGAAACGGACAGCAGATTAATATATACCGATGCACTTGTTGCTTTTCTAAGGGACTTAAAGTAGCATATTGACTAGCACCAATATACCTTCCTAGAGATGGAAAGATATTAGGAATTTGTGATTCTGGTCCAAGATTATGAGTATACATCGGAGTATCATTAACTCTTCGAATTCGATTAAATCGAGTCTCTACCCCGTCGAGATACATCGAACAAAATGTTAGACACTCCTCTGCTAAATATTGCTGACATATAGATCCTTCAGGTTGCGAACGATTTTTCACATATGATTTGAAACGTCCGAGGATCCTGTAAAAACAACACATTTTAAAAACTTTTAAATATGAAAAAATTATTGTGTTTTAACTTTTTTTTACATACCTCTCAACAGGATACATCCACCGAAACTGAACTGGACCCCCAAATTTTACTTCTTCAGTTAAGTGCACTATGAGATGTACCATTACTGTGAAGAAAGAAGGGGGAAACAACATTTCTAGATGACAAAGCACAAGAACAATTCTTTTTTGTAGGCTGAGTAGCTCACTGACGTCGATAACCTTTGAGCAAATATCCCGAAAAAAGTGACATAGCTCTGCTATAACAGAAGTAACATCTGGTGATAACACGCTACGTAACGCAATTGGTAATAAATGGCCCATAATGACGTGACTATCATGGCTTTTCAGGCCAAGAATTTTACGTTGCTTGACATCAATACATTTTGAGATATTTGAAGAGTATCCATCTGGGATTCTTGCACTCTTTAATATACTAAGGAAAATATCTTTTTCTTGATTCGTGAGCTTGAAAGAAGCTGGAAGATACTTTCCATTAGCATCTGGCCATAATTCAGAGCGTATACCCAAATAATGTAGATCTTTTCTTGCATTCAGATTGTCTTTGGACCTTCTCTTCTCACCCAATAATGTGAATACCACATTGTCAAAGACATTTTTCTCTATGTGCATCACATCAAGATTATGTCTTAACAGAGAATGTTTCCAGTATGGCAATTCAAAGAAAATACTCTTTTTCCTCCATTGTGTTCCTTCGTCTCTTTTCTTTTTAGTACCATCTGCATTTTTTCCAAGTACAACATCGACACTTTCTTGTTGCTCCATAATCGTCGACCCTGAAGGTGTAACTGGAGGTAGTCTTAACTCTTCTTTTCCATCAAAATGTTTCTTATCATATCGAAACTTATGATCAGGCTGAAGAAAGCGTCGATGACCCATAAAACAATTCTTTTTCCCATGGTGCAGACGTAGTTGAGCAGAATCATAATTACATGATGGACAAGCTAGATCCGTATATGTATTCCAACCAGATAAATTTCCAAGTCCTGGAAAATCACTAATTGTCCACATTAAAGCTGCAAGCATACAAAATGTTTTCTTTGTCGAAGCATCAATTGTTTGAACACCAGTTGCCCATAACTCTTTAAGCTCTTTGATCAAAGGTTGTAAGTAAACATCAAGATCATTCCCAGGCATTTGTTTTCCTGGAATTATCATCGACAATATCATTGATGAGTGCTTCATTGCCATCCATGGAGGTAGATTGTATGGAAACAACAAAACCGGCCATATACTGTAGTTTGTACTCATAGCACCATAAGGGTTAAAACCATCAGTAGCTAGTCCAAGCCTAACATTCCTTGCATCTGATGCAAAAACAGGAAACTTTTGATCAAATGTTTTCCATGCTTGGCCATCTCTTGGATGTCTTAGTTTTCCATCCTTGTTTTCTGCTAATGCATGCCATTTCATACTTTCCACAGTCTTAGAAGACATAAACAGTCTCTGTAGACGTGGTTTTAGCGGAAAGTAGCGTAATACCTTAGCAGCTTGTTTTTTATTCTTTTTTTTCTTTTCAGAAACTTCCTCATTTTCAGCTTCGTTTCCTTTCATTTTCCATCGAGATGTTTCACAAATCTTGCAGGTCTCTCTCCCAGAATCTTCTCCCCAAAACAACATACAATCATTTGGGCAAGCATGTATTGATTCATACTGTAGCCCAAGTTTTCTAACTGTCTTCTTCAGGTCATGAAGTGAAGCAGGAAACTTTGCATGCTTAAATGCTTCATTGAGAAGGTCAATGATCATGGACATCCCTTTATCACTTATCTTAGTGATACATTTGATGTGATATAACTTCAGCATGAAAGATAACTTCGAGAATGAAGTGCACCCCTCGTAAAGTTCTTCATGTGCATCTGAAGATAACTCGTCAAATACTCTTCTTTCATCTGAAATAGGTGCTTGATCCACATTTTCTTCTGCATTAGGTGCATGATTCGATGGACCAGCTTCATCATCAAAGTTTGGGGCCAAGTTTGGGAAGACATCATTTAGTAGATCTGTTGTGAAGTCTTCATTCAAACTGTTATCTTGTTGAGGTTCTTCCAGCACTGAAGCTTCCTTGACGTTCAACCGTTCACTATGGAAATGCCAGTTTGTATATGTAGGTAAGAAACCATTATACATCAAGTCCCCATATATATCATCTCTGTATTTATACTTTACTAGGCAACACCGAGAACAGGGGCATTTTAACATGTTTGCATTCGTCTTAGTAAAAGCAAATTCTAAGAATCCATTCACCCCATTGATGTATTCTTGAGATAAACGAGGTTTGTGAATCCATGATTTATCCATATTAAGTATAAACCTATAACCAGAAAATATAATATAAATACACGTTACTTCTTAGAAAGCCTGATTATATCAACAAAGTCTAACATGAAAGAGCAGCTATGTAAAGCACAATGCTAGCTACAGAATTCATGTATACATGTTTCATATTCCCAAAACAAGATTCACCACTTAATGCTCTTATCTATATGACGTTAAGATTTGCTCAAAAAAAGAAACAATAATTAAAGAGAAGTACCTGGAAAAACAACGGACGATTTTGAAAAGAGGTCCAAAACTAATCTGGTTGTACAGAACTGATCCAATCTGGTATTATATGGAAACAAGATTTTGGAATTAGCATAATATCATGGAAAGAAAACAAAAATAGATATTTCTACAGCAATCTATTTCTTGTTGATTCTCTCCTATTAGCTTAACTAGGATTAAAGTAGGAATTAAGGGAATTACTAAAATCCGTAAGGAGGCTTGTAACTCTAACTAGTTACGTAGTAAACTATTAGGAAGCATCAATGTATAATCAATACCTGATATTGAATCAAACTGAAAGTACAATGTAATTGTGGGTGACTCCAATCAAACAGTTTTCATAATCTCTGAAAGGAAGTTTGAGATAAAAATGATCAATGAAGTGAAGAACGAGGGGAGAAATCAATTGTAAACAGAAAATTTCCCAATCACGATAGAGCTTGGAAAAGCAAATGACTAGAAGGCTGCAGTTTAGGGTTCACAGGAAAAAAAGGCCGCCATCAAATTGGTTTTGTTTCTGGGAAATAAAAAATAGAAAATATTTGGTGAATATTTTTCTCCCAACAGGAAAACAAAACACATATCTAATTCTTATTTTAATTAATAATACTAAAATATAGAAATGTCTATGTAGCGTCGTTTCTTTTTTTAACTGATACTACATCATTTTTTTTAGCATCAAAATAAATAAATGATACAAAAAGTTGTCCACTAACATCACTTATTAAAACCGACGTAAGAATTATCATTTTAGCGTCACTTTTAGTAAGTGTTGCTAACTATACCTTTTATTTTTAATTTTAACATCACTTTTAAAACCGATGCTATAAAATCGATGTTAAACATAAGTTTTTTAGTAGTGTAAGCTCATAAACATAATAATATTCTTTTATTTCATCCACTGGATTCTACTGTCCTACAAGAATCTTCCGCTTACTATACAGTATACACACAGGTAACTTTATATATAAATAGTATATGCGTATAGCCGTATTATATACTGTTAGACGATTCAGTGACGTTTGAATAATGAAAAAGGTGATAGGCCTCCGCAATTGTACGTACTCGACAACCTGCGTGGCAATGACTCACCTTATCCACATTTGTTATTACTTTCTGGTACTCCTCGTTTTTACAACACTTTATAGTAATAAATAATAAATATGTATTAGAATTCACAACAAAAACACCTCCAATGGTGAGATTTTACAATTTAATGCCATTATACTTCTACTCTAATTCAATTGTATAATTTAAATTCAAGTTATGAAAATAAAATGTAAACCAATTATATATTGTTAAGATCATCTCCAACACTATGCTAGATATGACGTATATGCTATTTTGTCATAATATCTGCTCAATCCCTATTACATATGCTATTGTTGCTTCTATATTTGGAATGAGATTATGCAATATGTTATAATAATAAAAAAATAAAAAATATTATAATTATGAATGTTTTTGCAAGAAAGAAAACAGATGATTCACTTTGTAAAATTTAAAGAAATCAAATAGTTTTAACAAATAATAATAAGTTGGAAAAATTTTATAACATGAACCATTGGAGAGAAAACTAATATTATTGCTATATTTTTACTATTTGCAATAAGATATGGCATGAACCATTGGAAATTCTCTATTATGAATATTTATGGAGCTCTATATGAAAGACTCTCACTCTTGTTCTCTCTCGTCTCTTTCTCTATTTTTCTCTACTGATTAGGTTAACATAAGAGCTTTTCATTACGTCAACCTATTCAAGGTCTAGCGGTTGAAAAAATTATCATGAAAAATTGAAGATTAGGAATTTAGGATTCGAGTTGATTTTGACAGTTTTTTGTTACGGTTAGTCACTTAGTTGCTTCAAATAGCAAAACCCGATTTTTTTCACAAACTTGAGAGAATAATCTGGTGGGATCCTTAATTTGGTTTTAGAAAAATGTTAACACTTGATAACGTACGTGCAACTGTTTTATTATTTTTTTATGTTTTGTTTAGACTGTGAAAACCATGTTTGCGCGAAGATACACGTACTAGCGTATACAATATTCAAATTATATGATGTTATATATATCTTCATATGGTATATCATGTATATTTATGTTGGTGAAGTAGGGCCGTATGTGTATGTGTGTGTAATGTGTGCGTATAGATACGTGAGGTAGTTTTGCTTTTGCAGCTTCTTCGTCTCTCACATCCGTCTGGCCAAGATCAAGCTCTATAGACATTTTAAAGCTCAAAATAAAATTATTTTTATAAAGAAATGTAGCTTTCATATCTAACATAGAGAAATATTTGTCTTTAAAAAATTAAAAAACTTGAAAGGAACATTTTAAAAAGAGCTTCAAAAACTAAAGTTAGTATAACTAGACCTTACTGTTAGTTGTTATATATTTTAAATTACTAGAAGGGATATTTAATAGTAACACACACACAAAAACACTTCACATGCATATGTTATTTGTCTTTATCCCCTCTTTACTACTCATTTTAAAATTTGAAAATATCAGATTACATATAGATAAAATATCTGATATTTTCGGCGACGGAAATAAACTAACTTAACACGTTCTAAACTCCATTATACAAAAATATTTAGGACAAAAGGGCCATTTTTTGTGTGCTTGTAAACTTTTTTAAAAATCTTATCCAGTTTACCGTTTCTCAGTTTAAAACA